TAAGATAAAAATGGATAGCTTTTTTAAGCTTCATTTGGTAAGAAAAGCATTGTATGTGGTATGGGCAAGGTATAAAAAATATTTTCGTGACGTAAGACCATTGTGGATTGTACCGGTAGAAGCTTTAATATCTTACTCAAGACAGCGAGGTAAAGACTGGTTGCCATATAGAGACTTAATTAAAAAAGAGGGAACAGAGTGGGTAATGAAAAAGCAGAATGAAATTCAGTATGAATATGAATGGTTGAAATACATGCAGATTCATGATCTTTTTAAAACTGATAAAAAAACCTATGGTTTTAGAGAAGAAAAAAATGAAATAGAGAACATTTGGGAGAGTGGAGGGGGAAAATGTCTCTAAAATGTATAAAGTGTTGTTAAAATGGTATACTGAAGATGAAACTGTTAAAGAGCAAATGTTAAAGTGGGCAATAAATATGAACAAGGAAGTGACTATTGAAACTTGGGAATATTTGTGGAAAAAGTCTATAAGAATATCAACTTGTACCAATATCAGAGAGAACTGTTACAAAATGATGTATAGATGGTACATGACTCCGAAGAAAATAGCAAATATGAACCAAAATATGTCTAACAAATGTTGGAAATGTAAGAAACATGAGGGCTCATTTTATCACATGTGGTGGACTTGCGAAAAAGCTATGGATTTTTGGACAAAAGTCCACAATGAAATGCAAAAAATACTGAAATGCTCTTTTAAAAAAGCACCTGAAATTCTGCTTTTGGGTCTTAAAATGGAAGAAGTTAACACGACAAAAAGGACTCTACTCTGGTACTTAATAACAACAGCGAGAATGGTTTATGCACAATCTTGGAAAACAGAGAAAGTACCAGAGATTGAGGATTGGATACAAAAAGTTCTGTTCATGGCGGAAATGGACAAAATTACGAAAAAGTTGAACAACAAAGAAGATGATGTGTTTTTTACAGAATGGAGTGACTTCAAAATTTATCTGGAAAAGAACTGGGATGTGAAACAAAATTTAATATGTTTAGATCAATACTAAGTTAAATGTTGTTATCTCAAGACTGTAAGTAAGAAAAATGACATATTTGATTTGATGGAATATGGTAATGTGAAGAAAAGGGGGGAAGCATTGCAGGAAGCCACAGGAGGGAGGGGAGGTACGGGAATGGGGTAAATAATAGAAATTGAAAATGGTTTAATGTTAAATGTTAGATTCCTATGAAAAATAATAAAAGTTTGTTTACCAAAAAAACCCACTGATTTACTGTGAAGTTCAGGGTTACTGTTCACAAGAGGTCTCTGAATAGGCAGCATATAAGTGCTGTTTTCAGATGAACAGACAGGCTGAATAAACATTTTAATTGTGACAGTCTGTATTAAGATGTTGCAGATTATGATTTATGAGGTGAATGACCTTTGAAGCCTTGGTTTTCTGCATTTCTTCTCTCGTAATCAGAGCCACAAAGGAGTGTTCTGCTTTAAGAATACTCTTAGTGTGGCTCCCAGTTTGTTACACTGTCCAAATTTGGACACTTTAACAGATTAAAATTCAATATCAGTATTCTAAACTACAGTATAATCCTGGTTTAGAATCCCAGTTACTGGAAAACAATCAAGTCCCATTGTAACATTTCCAAATTCAGGAGTGTCAAGGTTAGATTCCAGAGGAGTGCATAAATACTCCATACATCTGCTGAAGTGAACTCTAGAATAAATTTTGTTAGTCTTTATGGTGCCATTGGACTAGTTTAATTTTGCAACAAATTAGAGAGAAGTCCTAAACTTTTGATTGTCGCTCTGTGCATGATGGGAGGAAGGACAAAATGCATGACCCTGTGGATTCAAGGTTTGTTCATTTCACAAACAGGTTGTGTTTTGTTCATTGTATTGGGGAGATCATTAGCATACAGTTCAGTATTAGTTACCTTGCTGCTTGGTTTTAGTATTCAGTGTAAAAACTTGCTGTGTTCTCTTAAAAGATTTCGGGAACGCCTGGGTGTGAAGGTAGTGAAGGCTCTTAAGAGGAACAACGATGGAGTAACGCATGCTTCCATTGATATGCTTTGTGCCCTCATGTGTGTAAGTACTATATTTTGTCAAGTATGTTAGAGTAGAATTTTTATCACCTCTCATGGTTTCGTGGGTTAGTGACTGGCTTCCTTAAGGGAATGAACCCTTATCAGAACCCTCTAAATACATGGCGTTTTACTCCTTTGGGTATCCACAGTACAGAAAGCTGAAATAAGTGGGGAAGGAATTGGTGTTTGTGTAGCTCCTTGCTTTCCTAACCTACTTAAACCCATGGATCATGTGACTGTGCTTTCTTTCCCATGATGGCCAGAGAAAAAGGGGAGAGGCTTAAGGGCCTGATGAAGGTTCTGTTAACTGTTACACTTGAGGAGGCTTGGCCTGCTTGTGAAGGAGGCTCTCTACCTTAAAGACCTTAATTTTTAATGAAAAGAAACTGGTTGTCTTGGCATGTGACATCCTGAATAAAATCTAATATTAGTAGAACAAGCTATGACTTTTGAATCCGTTAAATTGTATCATGGTCTTCCTAGTATTGTCTATACAGCCATAGCCTTATTACATTAGTGTTCAAATACTAAGAGCTCTAAAAGATGGTTTGAGGACCTGAAAGAGTTCTGATTTAAATGCTTCCTTTGTCCATAGCCCATGCATGATGACTATGACCTGAGGCAAGAGCAGCTAAACAAAGCATCCCTTCTTTCTTCAAAGAAGTTTCTGGAAAACTTATTGGAGAAATTTAATTCCCATGTGGTAAGTATTTTTAGATCACTTGAATACTTGAGGGTGTTTTGTGTGTTGGGAGTAGGTGGGAGACAGCTCCTTCTTGTTAGGTAACTTGGGGGATTTTAAAGGATTTTCACATTTTATCTCCTTACACGTGTAAGTTGGCTTGTGGTTGATATGGAATTTGATCACATGTCTCCTTAAGTGTTAAATGCTTTGTTTGCATAATGGCATGTGAAAGCTTAAATGAAGACAGTGTGAAGCAAAAGTTTCAGTATCAGATGGGAGGGATCTGCAAATAAATTTCTATACCTGAAATATCCAAATCTTCTTAATTTCAGGAACACGGAACGGGTGCCCTAGTTATTAGTTCACTTTTGGACTTCCTTACCTTTGCTCTTTGTGCTCCATATAGTGAGACAACAGAAGGGCAACAGTTTGATATGTTACTAGAGATGGTTGCATCTAATGGGAGAACCCTCTTTAAACTCTTTCAGGTGAGATTGGTAATGAGAAATAAGATGGCTTGCAAAAATTATTCCACTTTCTCTATCCTTGGTTGAAAGCATTCTATAAATTTCATACTAAAGCAATATTTGTGTAAGGGTTTACTAAGGAAAATGTTTACACACACACACATCTAAAAATCTACCTTTTAATAAACTTGGAGAAGGTAATTCAGCATAGTAAGCTTTTCACGTTTTGTCCAGTATGGTCTGTTCTAGGGGGCTATGGATTTGTGTATTATAAGACCAGAACGTGAAATGAGCCCTAAACTAGAACACCAGTTAACATATTTAACAGATTGTGGTAGCCAGAATAGCAACTGTAGTTCTAGATCACTCTATTGTTCTCGATGAGAACGACAAAGGTGGAGGGGACTTAACCCAAAATGAATTGGATTAGCAACCAAAAAGTTAAGGAAATCAAAATATAAGGGCCCAATAGTTCTGTGTCTGAACTTAAAACATAAATATTATCAAATATATTAAAATATACATTTATTTATTACAAATTCAATAAAAACAAATATAGGCCCAAGTAATAGCCTCAGTTCAGAATAAAATCATATATTAATCCCAAAGATGGACCATTATTGAACTTGACCAAACATGTTTTGGCCATTTGGCCTTCCTCAGCAATTACAATAATGCAGTCATTTCTAGATGAGAACATCTCATCTGAGATGTCAATGCTATATTAAAAAATAGTGAGATGCTAGTTGCTTTCTATATCATTCGGTTTTGCAGCATCCTTCCATGGCTATTGTGAAAGGAGCTGGATTGGTTATGAAGGCAATAATAGAGGTAAGATTTATTCTGTAACTGTTATCACATCTTATAATGGGAGTAGCTGGCTTAAACAGCAAACATCTTGTGCAAACTAAACCTTTGGAGACATTATTTTGGGAAGAACAGTTTCTCATGTTCTCTTTGCTATGACGATTGCATGCAGACCTATGAGCTTGATTTGACTTCTGTGTAGCTTATAGTTCCAGTTTTTTTCTTGCATGGGTTGCTAAGAACGAAAAGTTCTGCTATGAAACAGTTTCTTGTTTGTGTGTTCTATTTGAAGTGAATAGGACAGGCTTTCAAGTAAATCTGTCTGGTACATTTTCTATCCCACCCTTTTTCTCCAAGGAGTGCAGGGAAGAGCATACATGACTCTCCCTTCCCCATTTTATTCTCTCAACTACTTGGGCAAGGCTTGCGCAAGGGTCCCCAGAAAGCTCCACAGTAGAGTGGGGATCAGAACCTGGGTCTCCCAAATCACAGTCCCACAACTCTAACTGTTGCACCATGGTGGATGTCTTCTTGGCACTAGAGTATCCATCCATCCATGAGAGCTGCTGTTGAAAATTACTTCCATTAAAAACTCAAAGAAGACTAGTAACGATGGCTTATATCTTTTGAGAGCCATTAGCGGAGCAGGACTTCACTGGCTCTCCTACTGTTGCAGCCCACTGAGCCCTCTAAAATTTAGCCTAGGTGCTTAGCAGAGCCTCCAGAACCTCATAGGGGGCAAAGTGGGGGTCTGCAGTGGGTAGGAGCAATTGTCAAAAATTACCCCATTCCTCCTCTACCAGAAACACCCTACTGTTGGATGCAGGTGGCAAGGATACCAACCAATAACATTATTAGTAGTGGACCAACTAAAATTAGTAAAGCAGTAAGCTGTCTTTCAGATTTTAAGGAACTTTGAATTTGGTTTGATGCGAAATAAAAAAGGGCAGTAGAAAGTGCTGCTGTTAGAAGTAGTGTACGTGAATACACACATGAACACATGAAGCTGTCTTATACTGAATCAGACCCTTGGTCCATCAAAGTCAGTATTGTCTACTAAGATTGGTAGAGGCTCTCCAGTGTCTCAGGCAAAGGTCTTTCGCATCATCTAGTGCCAGATCCGTTAACTGGAGATGCCAGGAATTGAACCTGAGACCTTCTGCATGCCAAGCAGATGCTATGCCACTGACCCACGGCCCCTCACATCTGCAGTACATTACAATTAACATGTTCCAGAACTTGCTTGTGCCCAATGCAAAAATATTAACACAGTACTCCTGGATATGTTGGAATAAAGACGCCACTAGGGGGTGTGCACAAAAAGAGTTTGGTATTTTTCAGGTTCGGGTATACCAAACCTGAAAAATATTGGTATATGCCAATATTCCGGAATCCCATTATTGGTATGATAAATTCAGCAATACTGATTATCTCCTGAATCCCAGTATCGGTATGATATTGGGATTCAGGAGATAATTGGTATTGCCGAATTTATTCAGCTACATATGTTCCTTTCCCTCCCCTCTGTTTTGCTCCCCCCCCCCTTCCAAGCAGGGGGGAGGAAATGGAGGAGTTTAAAGGGAAACACACCTTCTCTCTCCGCCTTCCCTCCCTGAATCCCCCCCCCCGCCACAGCTGCAAACCCACTCTGGGAGGGGAGAGAAGGGGTTTAAACTTTAAATACCTTTCCTCCACTCCCGGAGTTAGGCTGCAGCTATGACCCAACCCCTTCTCTCTCTGTCAGCTTTTATTTGGGAGGGGGGCTACCTTGGTGGCTGAATACAGATCTCTGAACTGTTATTTGTCTGATTAAATACCTGAAAAATACCGATGAAGTACCAGTATTTATTCGACTCAGTATATACCGAGCGCACTGCCCTAGTAGCCACTCTCCCTTTGAAACTGTAAAAGCCATTGGTTACTAGTAATACCAGTAAATTTGAATTGAAACTCTTGGAGAAATAGCACGTTTTAAAAATAGTGATTCAGTAAAATATCTTTATTTCACTTTGAACACAGTGGCAGGGCTCATTCTCTCCAGTTCCAAATGCTTCAATAATTTATATTGTAATATAAAGGCAGAATAACTTAACTAAGATTCTTTCATAGTTATCTTCTTGCCCTGTTTCCAAAGGAGGGAGATAAAGAGATAGCAACCAAAATGCAAGATCTTGCCCTAAGTGAAGGTGCCTTACCTCGTCATTTACACACTGCTATGTTTACAATAAGCACAGATCAAAGGATGCTTACAAATAGGTAAGTCTTGAATTAACGTCACTTGCCTGATGTTGCTTTTGTGGCCTAGTCACCCCTTTCCTGTAACAGCCTCTTAAGCTCCCATTTACTCCACTTATAACTGATCATTAAAGAGAATTTTTGTGGTGACTCTGAGGTCCCTTCCAACTCCATGATTCTGTGACTAAACATTGCTTCTTTGTTCTTGCTTAACCTTCCCAACTATGAATGCAGTACCTGAAATGATACTGACAGATGCAGAGATACTAGCTGTAAAGTCCAAGGAGTCAAAGTATTATATATAACATGCTTACAATGAATGTCTTATGTTAATAGCAATAGAAAGAACTAATGACTACTATGGGTAGTAAAATTACATTTTTTAAAAAAAGGATTGTGTTAAGCTGTCCACTGATTTTTGGGAAAGAACAGTCACAGACAAACAAATACAAATTGGGGCTAGGTTGTAAAATATTCAAACTGAGCAATAGTTTGAATACTGTGAAATGGACAGAACTTTAATTTGTTTCCTAGCAAAGAAATCAGTAACCAGTCTTTCAATTTTCATTTCTCAGGCAGCTAAGTAGACATTTAGTGGGCCTGTGGACTGCTGAAAATGCAACTGCTCTGAATTTGTTGAAGCGTATTTTGGTAAGAGAAACTGTTTTAAGTGTCGCTCTTAATTATATTTATAATATTTTGCAAGTTGACTTAACTGCCCTTCAAACAATAAATGCTTTAATAGCTGAAGAAGACACTTGTTGAGTGAATGTTACACTGTAATTGTGCTAGTAGAAGAATCTGACATCGCTGAGAACTGCAGTGGGTTTTAGAGAGAGTTCCCCCCCTCCTCCCAAATCACTGCTCTTTGTAATGTCAGAAGCCAGTTCACAACTTTCAAGGGAGGCACTCTTTGGTTAATTTTTCAGAAGTGGAGGTGCCTCTGAATACTTGTGTTTTTTATAGGGAAGCATAGATGAGTTCTGGTTATCTAAGCCTGGATCTGAAGAACTGTGCAAATAATTCTGCAAAGCAAAACAAGAAGTCCCAGTGGTACCTTAAAGACTAAGAACATTTATTCCAGTATGAACTTTCGTGGGACACAGCTCATTTCTTCAGGTGCAACAGGAGAAAGGGAGATAAAGGGGTTTCTTTCTCCAATAGTATGTGAAGTGGGATCTCACAAAAGTTCACACTTGAATAAAGGTTCTTAGTCTTTAAGGTACCACTGGACTTCTGTTTTGTTATAGTAGACTAACACACCCCCACTGGAGTAAACTAATTCTGTACATGCAAGCAGTTTAGATTTGTGTTTCTTAAGAAGCAGTTTCCTTATTGGATTAAAAACATCTTTTGAAACTGAGGGTATCTTTAAAAGCAGTTTGTGATACTTTATCAGGATTCTCCTATTCAAAGGGGAAGTCACTAATCCTACTGGATATACCCAAACCTTTTTGTATGTCTTACGTAGTTCTTTAGAAACCAGCCTCCAAAGAAGCAATTGTTGTATACAAAACCTTAATATTGTACACAGCGATGTAAAAGCTGCTTCACACTATTCATTATCCTGTATACAGATGATGATCTCCATTTAAGGTATCAGCAATTACAGAGTCATGTGTGAAAACAATGCAAGCACATATGGTGCGACAACTTATTTAGAAATCACTCTGTAGCATATGTTGGGGATTTGGGAAGGATAAGTAAGTGTGGAATTCCCAAGTCAAAGGTCAAGCTATAAAACTGGGGGGAAGGTAGCAGTGAAAGATTGGTGCTATGGAAAATGTTCCAAATATCGGCAGGGAAGAGAGAAAGTATTGTAGCAATCTTATATTGGGCCAGTACCTCTTAAGCAAAATTCAAACAGAGGACAAGACCTAAACATTTTCTGTAAAAGAGGCTTATAGCCAGTGTTCCCTCTAAGCTGAGTTAGTGTGAGCTAGCTCAGTTTTTTAGCCTCCTGCTCACACATTGCTCAGGAAGGATGGCTCCAGAGCAAACTAATTTATGCAGTAGCCAAATCGCTCGCTCACAACTTTAATGCCAGTAGCTCACAACGTAGAATTTTTGCTCACAAGACTCCACAGCTTAGAGGGAACATTGCTTATAGCTCAGATAAGAAAAGTTAGCTATATGTTGGATTGTATCCCTTATATTTCAAAGAATATTGTTTCAACTGTGTTCAGTGTCCCTGCCTTGTGTGTGTATACATTTGCTGAGTAGTTCTTAAAATGCATTCTGATTTGCGTCCATTAATTGGCCTCCCTGCCACAGTTGCTGCAGTTTCTGCTACTGATAGGCTGATAAGATCTTTATAGCTCAACCTCACCCCAATTGTTCCCAGTTTTAGGATTGCTGAATAATTACTTGCTGCCATGCCCATCTTTTAACTGTTTTAACTGGTTTTATTGCTTAATATCTACTTTTAATCGCTTATTAATTGTAATTTATTGCTGTAATCCGCCCTGAGCCCACTTGCGGGAAGGGTGGGATATAAATCTAAATAAATAAATTTTGAGTTCGGGAAACTGAATGTTATTTAAAGAAATGTTACAATGTTATAAAGAATGTAAAGTAGTGTTCTTTCTTTTTTTTTTTCTTTTGTGGCTGAAGCCATTCGGCTTGCTATCGTACCTTGACAGCAATGACCCAGTTCCTGAAAAGGATGCTGATCGGATGCATATTAGAGATAACTTAAAAATTGCAAATGTAAGTATAAATGGAAGTGGGTTTGAATTCTTTCTGTGCATTTTGCTATTTGCCTGGTACCTATTTTTGGGAAGGCACTAATAATTTAAAATATGTTTCAGATGTTCAGTTTGTGTACCCAAGAAATGAATTTTGATTAGACCTTTGTTCTGTAGGATCAATATGGCAAGTTTAATAAAGTGCCAGAGTGGCAAAGACTTGCAGGAAAAGCTGCTAAGGAGGTTGAAAAATTTGCCAAAGAGAAGGTGGATCTTGTTTTGATGCACTGGAGAGACAAAATGGGAATAGCACAGAAAGAGGTAAGACTCTTGGTGCATGATGCAAAGCATGCTTACTTGGAACTGAGGTTTCCTGGAACTCAGTGGGACTTGTTTTCTACTTCTTTACACAGAGAGGGATTAAAATGTAGAATTTGCTGTCAGAGGATGTAGTGATGACCACAGGAATAAACAGCTTTAAAAGGGGATTAGATAGATTCATGGAGGACAGATCTATCGGTGGCTACTAGTCATGGTGACTGAGGGGAACCTCCACATTCAGAGGCACTAAACCCGTGACTCCCAAAGCCAGGAGGCAACATCAGGGGATTGTCTCAGCCTCTATGCCCTGTTGTCCATTGTGTGAGACAGGCTGGACTAGATGGACCATCGGTCTGATCCAGCAGGGCTCTTCTTATGTAAATATGCATAAGATTGTAGCCTTAATATTCTGTTACAGCATTTCAGCATCTTCTGATTGATTAGCCCGCACACCTCAAAACTATTTCATTTAATTATTGATACTGTAGGAGCAACTCTGGAGTTCTTATGTGTTCCCCTTTGTCATCTTTTGTTTTTTAATTGTATTCAAAATAATTAAGAATAATGGAGATACCTTCATTATAGGTTATGATAGGTCTTGCCTGTTGCACCCAAACAGGGTGTTAAAAATTAGGAACTGGAGATCCCTGCTCATTCATAGCTTCAGTCATGAATTGTGGTCATTGGGCTGTTCCATATGGGGAAATTTTGAATAGACTAGGAAAGATTCCAGTTCTTAATGCTGGACAAGAATATTGCCGCTACTCAATTCCCCCCTTTCCTTCATTGTTAGGGATTGTGAAATTTATTGGACTTGTATATGCTTGTTTAGTTCAAAAACTGCTTTTAAGAAGTGGTCTCCTTTTGGTTCATAGCTGTTCTTGATTGGTTAGATGGGTGCTGAGGGGCAACAATCATGTTTTTGACAGTAAATGTGTGTAGACTGCATGCATAAGAGGCACCATCCATACCGGCATATTTTGTTGTACTTGCCTTGTTCCGTTCTTTTCCTCTTGTTGTGATTCTGCTGTGGGGCTGAGTTAGCTGTGCAGCTGGGTCCCGTTTCCCTCTTCTGCTGGGCCATGCTTTTATTCGTCTTTTGTGCATGGGGCTAGCTTGTGGTTCTGTTAGAGCAGTCAGGAATCGATCGGTTGAAACAAGCACAGTCTGAGTCAAAATTACCTGTTTGCTAAAGTTGCAGTTCTGTTAACAAGCAAGGGCTTTCTGCTTTACTTTGCTCTTGGCATGGCAGTGGTGAGGGTAAAATGCATCTCTGTAGCTTCATAAGTAAATAAGCTATATGTGGAGGATTGAGCTTTGCATTGAATTATAGGCACATTGAGCTTGATACCGAATTATCGTGAGCAATGCTATTTTTTTAATGGGATGAAATGGAAAATCAGGCACTAGTGCCATATATATAAAAAACCCTGCCTTTTGAGTTGCTCAGTTTATGGCATGTTCTGAGAATTGTGGTTAAGCTTTCCAGAACTGCATGTGTTACAAGCAAAACTACTAATGGTCCCAAAAAATAGAGTCCATTTTAAGTTACGTGTAGACCAGAGATTGACTTGTGGGTTTAGGTTTCTGCCTTTGCTATTTAGTGATCATGTTGACAGTGAGGCTTATTATACAGTATTCTAGCTATTGCAAACTTTTGTGAGCCACCTCTTCTTGTCAAATATTGAATTTTGTTTCTTTTTCTGCTTCCCAAATACAACCAGGACAGAAACAATATGGTGAGTTTGAGTCCTCCTTCCTTTCTGTAGACTGCCTTGAATTATGCCTGGCATGGGGAGACTTCAGTTGGTGCACAGTAGAATTCCTAGTATCCCTCAGCCAGTAGGGGCATGCAGTTTTCTCTGTAGCTACTTAATGTCTTAGTCCTGCGAGGAAATAATTGTGTCTGCACTAACTTGATATCCTCCCTTCTTATTGTGGGCATTCCATTCCAGATTAACAGGTGTGATTGTTCCAAAGGTACAACTTTCCTGCAAGCTAGTTTGTCAGTAGCACAATATTGCCTTGGTATACTGCTGCCTCAGCTCCTGGCGAAGAGATGGGTCTCATTAGCAATAAAAGTATCCATTTGTTAAAAGAGGTTGGGACACGGCCAAACTAATCCCTTGCTTTGCTTATCTGTCCTAACATAAAACTTACTCTTGTGATATAGTGACCCATTTTCACTTTCTGTAATAGTCTGCTCCACCTTCCTTTTTTCTTTTGGCAAGAAAAAAAAAGCTGCATATCTATTATGGACTTGGGTACCTCCATTCAAAAAGGAACATACAATCTTTTTTTTTGTAACTCTTGGAAATGTTTCTAGTGTGTGAGTCTCATTTCATAATATTCTTTAAGTGTTCTGGCCTCAAGTTTAGCTGATTTTCTTTTGGCAGAATATTAATCAAAAGCCAGTCATATTGAGGAAACGAAGGCAAAGGATAAAAATACAATCAAACTGGGATCTCTTCTACTACAGGTAACCATTTTTTTGTGGTTGGATTTCTGTTCCTTTTGTCATGCATATAGATTGGAATGTTTGCATTAAACTTTGGTCAGATCTGCAGTTTTGAGGTTTATGTACTAAAGCGTGCCATTAAAATCTGTAAAACAAGATAGATGCTAGGAAGTGAGGCTGACCCAAGAGTTCCTGCAGTAATGGCAAGAGTCTTCATATGCTAGCAGCCTTTTACTTTTGAACAGCAGTGGTTAGTTTCTGAATCACTGTGATCAATTGCAGGTTTTGGATAGAACCCTCCAGAGGTCATGAGCAGAAGGGGGTGTGTGTGTTTCATTTGATTCCTCTGCCATGTAGTGAGTTTTGCTTACAAGGCTCTCCCGAACCTTGGAGAGGAGTTTCAGGATGAATGGCAGGCTGCTTAGGAAGAGGGAAGACAGGGCAGGATCCATTCTTCCAACACCTTCCTTGAACTGTTCTGCTGAAACCAAGTCATACTTCAGAAACTACCGCAGAAACTTCCTGAGTGTAAACACATGCAGTGAATCTCAGCATGCATGTGGTATTGTACTACTGTGCAACTTGAAAACAACACATATAACAAAGTGTGAAGAGATTAAGGCTTTGGATCCTAAGCCTTTCTTCCCTTTGTGCCCCTCTTTGTCCCTTGTGGGCACTTTCCCCTGGTGTCAGGTGCTCTTTAGCGCATTGAAAGATATTGCTGTTGCATGATTGGAAGCACCTAGTGTTACCCAAATGGCCCACGTGTGTATATACTCTGACTATAGGATGGTCCTCCTTTTAAAGTGTCAGACAAATGGTATTGCCTGATGTACTAAGGTCCAAAATTTGATCTAACATCTCATAAGGGTGTTCAGCTTCTTAGAAATAAATAGGCATGGATAAAGGTAAGGATCTATTAAGAAAGTGTAATAGCAAAGAGAATTAGCAAACTGAATACAGAGTTTGAAACTCGCATGCACACACACGAAATTAATGTTCTACAAATCCTAACTTCTGCTAAATCCTAACATAAGCAAATGTTATCGATCTAAAGAGAAATGGGAAGAAGGAGGGAAAGAGATATACAAGCCTATCATGGTGAAGTCCTGTAGATTTCTTGAGAGAAAGGAGAAAGCATTGTGGGATAGGGCGAGGTGAAGGAGCTAAGCATAATCTTCACAGGCACCTGAATTGAGATGCAGGGTCAATGCAGAGTGACACACACGTTCCCCACTATGCATTGCCACAAAGGGGTTTTGGAACCAGTTGCTGCTGTCCAGTATTGAGAAGGCAACTAGTGGCTGGAACAAAGAGCAGGGGTTCTCAGGGCTAACTTTATACCCTGGAAGTGTGACGATGGAGGAGAGAAATAAGATACTTCTGAGGTTTTAAACCTCTTTGGTAGATCAGTAAGATAACTGTTGCATGGCAAAGATATCTCTGGGGGGGATTGGGGATATTGATGCCTTCTTTGTTGTTCCATTTGGGCTACAAACTTCATCAGTCTATGTTATATAGTCATCATTTGGTTGGATTGAATTCAGGGGAAACATAGTGAAGGAAATATATAAAAATAGGAGATGGATGAGGTGATACGTCACTCTTAACTGTAGGAGAGATCCTGTTGGCGTTTATGTAATGTTGAAATCAATTAGCTAAGATACTGTTATTACCTTTTGAATGAGGAAGGGGATGAGTGGCCTGTCTTGCATTTGATTGTTCCCAAGCTGCCCGGCCGCTACTTGTTCAGTCACCTTGCTCAAGAATGAGACTGGACTGATAGTTATTAGAGGTGTGCATTCAGCATTTCCGATCTGAATTAATACTCGAATCATACCTTTTCAGCATGATTCAGGCATGTGTTAAGCCAAATCATTCTCTGATCTGATTTGGTTTACTGATCAGAGAATTCCAAATTCAGGAATCCCGAATATTTCGGCTCCGTTATACCCTATGGGGTCATTCTAGTCAATGGCAGTTCTCCTAGAGTATATTCAGTGGGCTGGGGGGGGGGAGTTTGAGTTAGAAGAAGCACCAGATTTGTAGTGTAGCTGCTGGAGCCTCTCCCCAAAAGAATCTCCAAGTTTCAAAAAGATTGGAACGGGGTCCAATTCTGTGGGCACCTAAAGACGGTGCCCCATTTCCCATTGTTTCCAGTGGTGGGGGGGAAAGCAAGGCAGGCATGCAACAAACCCAGTGCAGTGTGCCCAGCAGAACCAGTGCCACTCTGGCAGTGCCAAAACACAATAGATTTGGACCTTAATCCTGTTGGGTTTTTGGCAGTGGTTGTGCTGAGCATATTGCACTGGTTCTGCTGCTTGCCTTGCAAACATGCCCTCTCCCCCTGCCCACACTTTCTCCTGCAGAGAGTCTCTGGGAGAATCTGCTGGGCTTGTTGTATGTCTGCCTTGCTTATTTCCCACCCTTGAAAACTTGGGGATTCTTTTGGGGAGAGGCTTCAGCAACTACACTGCAAATTTGGTGCCTCTCCCTCAAATCTCCCCCCCCCCCCCACTGAATATTCCCCAGGAGATTTGCTATTAACTATAACCCCCCAGGATATAATGGAGCCAAACATTCGGGATCCCCAAATGCTACCCAAATTCCAGTACAATACAGATATTGGAATTTGGGTTTTCAAGGCAATACCAAATTTTTAAGGGTCCAAAAATCCAGAATTCAAAAAATACTGATTTTTTTCCCTTGCACATCCCTAGTTATTCAGTTCCCCTGTGTCTACGCACCACTGCCCATTTCATGGCAGGGGCAACCACCCCTGTCTCAGGGAGGCATTTACTGTCTCCTGGATCCAGCCTACCCCCCAGCAGATTTAAACAGCCAGGAGGAGTAAGAGTTGTTAGAAGCAGGTGGTAGGACTCAGACTTCCAAGAATCCTGCCACATCCTTAGACTGAACAAGCTGAAAGGTATCCATACAACTGGGCGATCCAGCACCCTAGGACCTTCCAGTCTTGTCACTGCTAATGTAGAGTCCAAGTCAGAATGGATGCGAGATATCTGATTTACAAAATGGTTGCAGCGGACTGCAGGGCAGTCTACCTCCTCCTGTAGGTCAGAACTCAATAGGCCCTTGACCACCTGGAAGAGTTTCACAACTCTGTACTGTGTGGATGTAGTGAGAGTGGAGAAAGTGTTTCTTCATCACGATTACTGTCGCAAAATAGGCTTTAAAATGAACTCTAGTCTGTGCCTTGTTGGATTTGTCATTAGTGTCTCTCCAGTGTCACTCTAGCCATCTCCCTTGTCTTCTCATCACCTGCAGCCCCGCAGTAAATCAGGTTGCTGCTTGGCCTTAGTCCTGAAATAGACTAAAATCCTATTCTTATCCTCTTGAGCTGTTCCATTAGACTACAATTCCATCTATAAAAATGCCCTCCTGAATTACAATATGAAACAGTAGTGAAAAATGTCAGTATCAAAATATGACGTAAAATCTGCTTCCCATATCTTTTTTATAGATTTCTTCAAGATCATGCTAGATCCAACTTGATTTGGAATTTCAAAACCCGAGAAGAATTGAGAGACACCCTAGAGTCTGAAATGCGGGCATTTCAGATTGATAGAGAACTTGGCAGTGCTAACGTCATCTCATGGAATCACCATGAATTTGAGGTATGTCTTTGAAAACATTTGTTTCCTGCAAACTCCACTTGTCTGTCATTATTTAAATGTACCTTAGTAATACCCAGAATACTATAGTAAATATAGTGTTACCCACTGATAGTGTGGAAATAGCTTCTCCTTTTTAAAAACCGTTTTATAGTTACAGTCCAGTGGTCTTGCATGGTTTGTGTATTGTAACATGATGCTTTTATTAGCATTATAAGTTACTCCAGGGTAGAGAATGTAGCATACACATATGCATACTGACTTCTGTAATGTACCCAAAATGATACATGTAAGCAAAATGTTAAAATCCATGGTAGACAGCTTCTAGAAAAATGGACGCAAAATTTCTGATGTGGTTGTTAAAACAGTAGCAAGCTTCTGCTGGGTAGTGCTTAAACACTGGCAGATTTTAAAAAGTGTTCTTGTGTTAATATAGAAATATGTACCACCTGGTTTTGCATTTTTAATCACAAACTGATTAGAATTCTCTCTCTGAACATGCATTTAAAAAGAAAGCATAATGCAGTCTTTAACTTGACTGAATGGTGCAGCAGTTACAAGGTATTAGCATGGATTACCAACAGGTAATCCATGTTGGGTGACTTTAAATATGCACCCTTAAATGTGACATTAAAGAATGTTGGCTATATGAAGGGTTTAGATTATTTCTCTTGAGCAGAATGCTTTGCAAAGAAGCTGCTCCTTTTTTCAGTCTCAGAGTTGCCATGTGCCCGGGAACAAATGGGAGAAATGGGGGCTCCCTAAATGCTTGCAATAGATAATCAAGACTTTGTTAAATGAAGTCTGTTTTGGTGTATCTGCCAGCTATGATGCATGGTAGTAATAAATGAATCTTGTTCTTCTGTTAAATGTTAACACAGTAGAAAAGACAAGGAAAGGCTGTTTTAATGATCAGAACTACAAGGCAATACTTTTGAATAAACATCAATAGAGATCAAGTTTGTAAATCAAAATATGCTGTAAAATAGATTCCCCAGTGTACAAATATACTCATGTTTACATAATGTATAAGGAATGCATATTGTATTTAAAGGGTGATTCATAATGCTTATATAAACACTGCTATCTTGTGCTACTTGTATATTTTATTTGTAAACTTGATTTTAATGCCTCCATTCAAGTTTACACATACATCCACACGCAGCTGCCTTATACTGAGTTAGACCGTTGGTCCTTCAAGGTCAGTACTGTCTACTCTGACTGGCAGCAGCTCTCCAGGGTCAGAGGCAGAGGTCTTTCACTTCACCTACTGATCTGTTTAACTGGTGATGCCAAAGACTGAACCTGGGACCTTCTACATGCAAAGCAGAGGCTCTTCCACTAAACCATGTCCCCTGCCAAGTTTAAACCAATATCGTCAGACATATGCCTTTTTCTCCTCCAAAGAAGAACTATATAGACAATTATATCTGAGTGATGTTTGAATTCTGAAATTTTATCATTCAGGTATTGCTTTTCCAGGAACCCAACTTTGACTACTTAGCAGTAACGTAGGAAACTTCTGTTTACATTTTTTCTGTGCAAAAGGTGAAGTATGAATGCCTGTCAGAGGAAATAAAAATAGGGGATTATTACCTGAGATTGCTGTTGGAAGAAGATGAAAGTGAAGAAAGTGGAGCAATAAAAAAATCGTGAGCTGCTGTTATGATCCTAATGTTCTTTTTTTTTTTTCAAACTCTTAGTGTGATTTTTTTTCCTGCTCTGTAAACCTTTTGGGTTATTGCTTCTTTCTACAGGTATGAATTTTTCAATGAATTGTACCACCGTTTCCTGCTTACCCCTAAAATAAACATGAAATGTCTCTGCTTGCAAGCCTTGGCCATTGTTTATGGCAGATGCTACGAAGAGATAGGCCCATTTGGTGACACCAGATATATTGTAGGGATGCTGGAAAGGGTGAGTATTTTTCAGCTAATGTTCAGTTGCTGGGGAGCAGGGAAGGCAAACATGACTGTAAGCAGCTTCTTACGACTTGTCTGCGCTGTCTCCTTAATGTATTTCTTTCTTACTGTGGATGTTTTAAGAGTGTAGCATTTATACATTTCTGAGGTTCCTGAGCCAAACATGTCTGATCAGTTCAAACTGTAGAAGATAAAGTTGCCAATCAAAATTGATGACTACTATGGAAAAAGTTACCGCATAGGATTCTTCCTAAATTTTGTATTTGCACAGTACAAAGTTGGGAGCGATCGGATCATTGTATTTTTAATCTATTTGCTAAAGTATAATTTTTTAAAAATAAATAAATGAAAAGGCTTGATAGTGATACCATTGTACCATAGTTTTGCGTCTTCCCCCATAGTGCACTGACAGACTTGAGCGGGACCGGCTGATACTGTTCCTTAACAAACTCATTCTCAACAAGGTAATCAGTCTTACATTGCAGTCTCTTTTATTTATTCATTCATGCATACCATGTTCTCCCCCCCCGGGGGGGGCACAAAGCAGTTTACAACCACTTTCCTCTTCTATTTTATTGTCACAACCACCACCCTGTGAATTACATTAACCTAGGCTGAAAGTGTGTAACTGGCCCAAGGTCGCCCAGTGAGCTTCCATGGCAGAATGGGGACGTCTGCAAGCTGTTTTTCTAGTTCGTCTTTTCTGTTGCTATAACCCCCTACACATGGCAGGTTTTTCACTCAATTTTGGGAGGAGTGAGTAATCACTTTATTTTTAAGTCAGCTGAAATACTTAAAGCGTGGTTGATTACTCTGTTCACAACACTGTTGTTTTTCTCCTTACAGAAAAATGTCAAGGAGCTCATGGATTCTAATGGTATCAGAATCCTTGTGGATCTTCTCACTCTGGCCCACCTTCACACGAGCAGGGCTACAGTACCACTGCAAGTATGAGAGCTGTAGCTTCTTACCCTTCATTGTATACAGGTTAAAAACACGTGACTAAAGTATTGATCCCTTGAATTTAAAAGACGTGTAGTTACATTGGAATTTTCTGAAATCAACTCCAAATTGAGCCACTTCAAGGTGGGGGGGGGTATTTGTATTGTTGGAAAAATTTGTACTCGTGGTGTTTGGCTAGCATATTTGAGACTGACTGTGCCTCTTCAGTGTGACATCTGCTGGACCCTCTGGTGTGAAAGACTGCTGTTGCTTAGAAGTTAATATCTTAAGATTGCCTGCATGTGATTAAAACGTGCATTTGCATGCTTACTGAACATTCGAACTGGAAATCTCATTCCTTGCTGGATTGATGTAATGATGTGGTTTGTCTGGTATTCTTCTTAGAGTAATGTAATTGAAGCATCACCTGATATGAAGAGAGAGAGTGAGAAAGAGTGGTATTTCGGCAATGCAGACAAAGAGAGAAGTGGTCCTTACAGCTTTCACGAGGTAACTTTATTATACAGTTGCAATAGAACTAGCATTACAGTTTTCTTGATGGTTCAGTCACGTTGTTTGCAGATGAGAGCAAAATGTGGTCTGGTTTGCTTTATGCAGTCCATCTGGTCCTGCCATCTCTACACACCAGGGGCTTCAGTCCAAAAAGCTGCTGGGATGTATCAAGATCGCCACATGCAGAGTGGTCCACATGGCTGGCCGTATGCCAGTAGTGGTGGTGATGTCCATCATCCACAATCATGCTGAAATTTCCTTGTTTTTAGACACGTGGGACTGCCAGGGCTAGTCTCAGAGCATCGGTTAACACACAGTTGTACCAAATCAATTTTTTCTCCTTGGACTGGCATTTCTTTTCACTGGTCACTGTATTTGAAGCTGTGAGAGAGAACTCTGATGAGTCCTATTAGCTAGGGTTATATTAGCTTAGTGTCTCTGGAACAGCTGGTTTTGGGAGGTTGGGAAAAGGGGCTTTTTCTATGCTCTGTGGCTTGGCTGATTTGGGGGGGGTGAGCAGGGGGCTTCCTTTATGCTCTGGGGCTTGGCTTAGCTGCTTGTGGCCATACACATTGTTCACTATTGCAATCAATCTCTAACTTAGATGCAGGATTTGTGGACCAAAGGGAAGCTGACGCCGAAAACACGTTGCTGGGCCCAGGGCATGGATGGGTGGCGCCCACTGCAAGTTATCCCTCAGCTGAAGTGGTGCCTCCTTGCCAGTGGACAGGCTGTACTAAATGAGACAGATCTTGCTACGCTTATTCTCAACATGCTGGTCACAATGTGTAGCTATTTTCCTAGTAGGTAAGAGATCATCTGGAAGACTCTTCTCTATTTGCTACAGCTAATACTCCCTCTAGGGCAATAATTTTGTGGACGTGCTTCTACCGTGCACAGATTCACAAATCTAGGTGAACCAGGCCAGTCTACTGTTGCTACACAACGAGGAATAGCAGCACATTTGTAGCACCACTGTGGAAATGTGCGAAAGGGAGGCTCTGATCACCTGAAGCAACAAAGCTTCTGTTAGGCTGATATACCATGCATAATAATAAATAAAGCTGACTTTGGAACAGAATTGGAAGGGGTATTTTAAAGCAATGCTGGAAATGCTGGTGATTGTAAAGCAGGAAATGGTGGGGAAACACCTGAAGCGGAAGTATACTGGATGGTATAATATGCCCATTGATAAAAACCTGTCATTTTTAGAGATCAGGACAATGCCATTATAAGACCTCTACCTCGAGTGAAGAGACTTCTTTCAGACAGCACTTGCCTTCCCCATATCATTCAGGTAAGCTGACTTTTTTGCTTTCTGATCTTTATGAAGGAATCCTGTACTTCAGTTATTGTGTTCTCTCCAGCCTCTCATTTTATCTTGAAATGTTTTCTCTTCATCAGACATTAGGGCAGTAAGGTGCTACGAAGCATGGTTCAAACAGTGTAAGTTTTATGTCATTTCAGCTGTTGCTAACTTTTGACCCGATTCTTGTTGAGAAAGTGGCCATATTGCTTTTCTACATCATGCAAGACAACCCGCAGTTACCGCGACTTTACCTCAGTGGGGTATTCTTCTTCATCATGATGTACACTGGTTCCAATGTACTCCCTGTTGCAAGGTGAGAACACAAAGAATGTGATATTTGTGTGAGGTTGGAAGGGCTAGACTAGTGGATTAAAACTACTTCCCTGTAGTATGCTGTTGTACAGTAAATGCAGTACATTGAGAAGTACTGAGAGGGTTAAGTACTGAGAGAGATCAAAACTACATTGAGGAGTACTGAGAGGGTTAAGTACTGAGAGAGAGGGTTGAGTACAGTGAGAAGAAGTCCCAGAAGGAATGTGACTCTTGATAAATTTCTGGGGAGAATCCAAGGATGAAGGGTTAAAGAAGGTAGGAAATCATCCAAGTGTGTTAATCTATCTCTGTGTGTGTGTGTGTGTGTGTGTGTGTGTGTGTGTGTGTGTGTGCGCGCGTAGCTCATGGTAGGTAGTTAACCAAATGCTTGAACTTGACTTCTAGGTTTCTGAAGTATACGCATTCAAAGCAAGCTTTCAAGTCTGAAGAGGTAAGCAGCAGTACAAAACAAGTTAGTAATAGTCCTTCAGATGAAGAGAGCACAGCTATGTGTTAATTTCTGTTTAGCAAGTGTATCCAGTTTTAACTGTTTGAATTTTTGCTTGATGCTGTTGTGTTATCCAAGTAAGGGCAGAACAGTGGGATATAAATTTTGTAAATAAATCCACAAATCTCTAAATTGTCTGTCTTTGAAACCTGTTGGTTTCTCAGATGACAAATACATTAGTTCCAGTTGACAGAATGAGAATTAGAGCAAACTTTGTTCCTTATTTAAATTCTGTGCTTTGGAAACATGTGGCAAACATAGTGTTACATCGAGCCTACCATGGTGGAGTTAGTTTTGATGGGTGGGTTGGGGGGATTAAGCATTAAAATGCCTTGTTGGATGCATCGTACTATGTCACAGGTCGTGGAGAGCACGGATTGATGATTGTCGTGTGATTTATTTATTTCATGAAGCTTCTATACCATCTTCCCCGCAAGTGGGCTCAGGGCAGTGCACAACAACTTTGTATAAAATGCATATAAGATACACTAAACAATCTAAAATTCTCATCTATAAAACCTAACATCCACATGGCACCATAATACAATTTTCTGAGCCCCCAGTTTACATTAACGTGGAGGAGAGGGGGTGAAAAGCAGTTAATAACCTGGATAGTTGTTAAAACCGTTAAACTGTAAAAAAAACAAACCATTGCTGTCCGTAGTCATATGTTTATGTTATGTAAACATTCTTATTTAATTTGTAAGTATCATTTTGATGGTTTCTTCTGTTTTGTGCTTTAGACAAAAGGGCAAGATATAGTTCAGAGGAGCATTCTTGGACACATCCTACCAGAAGCCATGGTGTGCTATTTAGAAAATTACGAACCAGAGAAGTTTTCTGAAATATTTTTGGGTGAATTTGACACTCCAGAAGCTATTTGGAGTAATGAAATGAGGTAACTGTCTTATTTACTTCATGCTAAAAGAAGGGATTGGTACATATTTCCTGTTAGTTTGCTGGTTGTTCTCTGAATCATCTAGATGGCTTTGTGGTTTGCCTTAAAGCACTAGATTTAATTGAATGCCAGTCAGTATCTGGGCATCTGTTTGCTTCAAGATGTCTTTTACAATTCACAGGCGCCTCATGATTGAGAAAATTGCTGCCCATCTTGCTGACTTCACTCCCCGTCTTCAAAGTAATACAAGAGCGCTTTATCAGTATTGCCCGATCCCAGTCATCAACTACCCTCAACTGGAAAATGAGCTGTTTTGTAACATATATTACCTCAGACATCTTTGCGATAAATTACGGTTTCCTGACTGGCCAATTAGAGATCCTGTAAGTCACTTTTTAAAAAATTACTCTGCCTTATTTATAGCAGAGCAGAATTTGGGGGCGCTGAGGGAGGAATAGGACAATCTTTGTGAAAGCCATGATTGCTTGGCCTGCTTGCAGAGTATCTTGACATGCCTGGCTTAAATGTATTATTTATTTGTTATTTATAGTGTGCCTTTCTCACTGAGACTGAAGGGGGATTGCATAATGTGAGTCAGTACAAATCAGTAGGGTCAAGAGACATCTAATAAACCATGTAGTAGGACTAGTATTTCAGAAATCTGAAACAAGCCATGAGCATTAAATGTGGCATGTTAACCAGTGCAAGAAATGGTATTACGTAAGTAGACATGTAACGTAGTCAGCATAAGAAGAAAAAAACATACAACAGGTAATGCATATTAGTAGTATGGTCCACAGTCCCATTCCCTCTGTCATGATGCAGCCCTATTCCTTTATTTAAAAAAAGCTCTCCCACATAATTCGGTGTTGCATAGTTTGCAGAAACAAAGATGAAGAGACAAATTGGTGCAGACCACCACAGATAATGCACATCTGTGGGCACTGGGCACTTGTTCATCTTGTCCATTTGCAGGGTTATCTATTTAGATGACTGAAGGTGCCATAGGAGGAGATACATCCTGCAGATGTAAGGGTCCAAGGCCATGAAGGGCTTTGCATGTGATGGCCAGTACCTTGAACTGAACCTGGTAACTAATGGGCAGCCGATGGCGTGATTACAGAAATGCTGTAATATCATGCACTGCCTAGTTCCTGATGATAACTGAGCGGCAGCATTCTGCACTAACTGGAGTTTCCAAGTTGATTTTGAGGGAAGATCTATACAGAGTGCATTCCAGTAGTCTAGTCTCAGTGTTTACTGTGGTATGGATCCAGGTGGCTAGATTGGCTGATTAGCTTTAAATTAAGTTGGAAGAAAGTGGGTTTTGCAGCTGCGTTAATTTGCTTCTCTAGCATTAGTGCTGGGCCCAGTATAACCCCTAAACTCTTGACCGAGTCAGCAGGGCTCAGCTGAACCCCATCGAAAGTGGGAAGTGACCTCAGGCTTCCTACCCAATATAACCTCTGCCTCGTCAGGGTTCAGTTTCAGCTTAGTCTCTCAGTCGTTCAACCACAGCAGTCAAGCAGTGGCTCAAGTCCTTTACTGCGTCCCCTGGAAATTTGGCTGGAGAGAAAGAGAGCTGGGTATCATCAGTGTAATGATGGCTTCCAATTCCAAAGCTACAAATGATTTATCCTAAGTGTTTTACAAAGTAGTTGGCTAGCATGGATGATTAGACTGCATCCTGGTTGGATTTAAACTAGTTGATAAGAGTTCCTTCACATTTGTTTGGGTCAGTGTTCAAGTAGTAAGAAAGGTAAGTTTCCTGCAGACTTTCTAATACAGGGTCGGTTAGGTTACTGAGCAGAGGTGCAAAATCAGGAATTCCTTCTGTATTTTCTCTTACAGGTTAAACTATTGAAAGATACCCTGGATGCTTGGAAGAAGGAGGTAGAGAAGAAGCCACCTACAATGTCAATAGATGATGCTTATGAAGTTCTCCATCTTCCAAAGGGACAAGGGAAGTAAGTTGTCATAACATTTTCCATTACAAGTAGAACTGGTGCCTAAAACAAATAAATTACATTTCTTTCTGCTGGATCCCATTCGTTTAGTTGACTCCAGCTGTTCCTTCGCCTGGGGAAACTACTGAATCATGGTGCAGCTAACAAACAGGTTTTATAGAGCAGCAGTAGGATAGTAATTTGGCATTGGAGCACATTTTGTGTGGGAACATCCTGACCCATAGATTTGGCCCTGTGCCACTTAATCAGAAGTGCAGGCAGAATACCAAAAAGGGGAAAGTAGCATAATGCAGGGAAGGGGAATCCTGTGTCCAAACAATGGATGCAGGGGCAAGTGATTCATTTTGGCCCTACCGTTGTAGCTTCTGCCATGTGATGTTGCTGCTGCTGCTGCTGCTGCTGCTGCTGTTTGCATTCCTATATCGCCCACAGCCGAAGCTCTCTGGGCAGTTTGCAACCATACAAAACAGTAAAATAACAATAAATAGGAATTAATATCAAAACATTAAAAAACAGTAGGAGGTCTAGTGAAATGCAAAATTAATTGCAGAAGTCTAGAGTTTTTGGAATGTGTGTGTTGGATATAACCCGCTAAGATCTGTTTCATTGTGCATTATGGGTGCTGCCTCTATTAAGTTAAGAAAGAGGCTTATTTGTAGATTGTGCATAATGTCTGTAGAGATTTAGCTAATGCATCAAAAGGGCCTGGAAGTAGGGCTAAAACCTGCAGTTCAGAATGTTCATTTCTAGACTTACAGCTGTTGCCTCCCCAACATTAAGACAGGGCATTTCCCATGATGGCCCCTTCTCCTTGAGGCTCACCTGGCACCTACTTTATGTTCCTTTAGGCACCGTGCCCAAAACATGTCATTTTTACCCAGGCTTTTAATTAGGGGGTTTTCTTACACTTTTTTTTTCATGGTCTGCTTCTGTTTCATGAATAGTTTTATACTATGTATACTACGTATGTCCAGTGGCTTGTTTTTATATTGTTACATTGTTTTAATTGTAAGCTGCCTTGAGCAGGACTGTGAAGAGGTGGCATAGAAATAGCCTGATTAAATAGACAGCATTAGTTAAGTAGCTATAACTAGCTAGATCATGGTTTTTTCCCCCTGACTAAATGAAAATATAGGTAACCGCATCCTTTCTGTATTTGGCAGACATGATGAGAGCAAGATCAGGAAAGCTTATTTCAGATTGGCTCAGAAATATCACCCTGACAAGAATCCAGAAGGTCGAGTAAGTGATATGTGTCATAGCCGTAGAGTGTGTGTGTTTTGCCAGGGAGCTGCAGGCCTTACATAGAACTCTCCGACCTGCAGGGGTCATCTCCATTTCCTTCAGTGGCAGGAAGAGATCCACGTCTACATTCCTGGGCACGTGCTGATCTGTTCTGTAATTTGCATGACTGAGGTAGCCTATTTGGTGTAGTGGTTAAGTGCGCGGACTCTAATCTGGGAGAGCCGGGTTTGATTCCCCGCTCCTCCACATGCAGCCAGCTGGGTGACCTTGGGTCAGTCACAGTTCTGTCAGAGCTGTCCTTGAAAAAGAGCTGTTTCTGTCAGAGCTCTCTCAGCCCCACCTACCTCACAGGGTGTCTGTTGTGGGGAGGGGAAGGGAAAGGAGTTTGTAAGCCGCTCTGAGACTCCTCTGGGTAGTGAAGGGAGGGGTATAAATCCAATCTCCTCCTCCTCCTCCTCCTCCTCCTCCTCCTCCTCTTCCTCTTCCTCTTCTTCTTCTTCTTCTTCTTCTTCTTCTTCTTCTTCTTCTTCTTCTTCTTCTTCTTCTTCTT